TCAAAAGATCCCGCGCCGATCGACTCTAAAACCTCGCGTCTACTCAAAAAATCGATGTAATCCGAATGTGAAGTGGTAGCGGTAGAGATATTTGATACGCGAATATCATAAGGGTTTACACCAGAATTATTATAGAAGATATCGTCGTATTTGTAGTCGCACTGTTTAGTTGTTTCTTTGAGGTCCTCGATAGATCTGTTTTTTTTAACTAGAAAAATATACATACGTGCATCGATAAGACTTGAGAAATCACGAAATCAAACGGATAAAAAAAATGTCAGCTCACATAGATTCTGGCATATGCAGGAAATGTTCTTCATTTCATTGATTAGTGTGGCATTCAATAATGGCTTATCTATGAGTTCGGATTAGTTGAGAATTACTCGCACTTCAATAAGAAATAAATACACAAATTTATTAACTTACATGAATTGTATTCCGCGAAATACACGTTGGAAGCTCTACATTTAAACGTAAAAATGAATGTCGCGATCCAAATAACGAGATAAAATTAGTGAAATAATGAACTTACAACTGCATTTCAGGATCAATCCACCCGTTTCCTAATCATTTTTAAAAGTTATTTGAATGACATTTGCAACTTCGAACGATAATGGAGATTCTCCCAAGTATCAACTCACCTAACGCGATTGACTTGAGATTTATTTTAGTCATATAAATATCAGTGAGATTTTCGGACTCGACAATTTTTTTGGCAATTGCAGGCGCTACATTAAAACATTTAAGTTTGAGGTTATTCTTCTTCAATGGAAAAAAATTTTGTATAACATTAATTACCATAATGTCCACCGTAAGATTCTCCGAAAATATGAAAATCCAGATCGGCGTACTCTGGAAATCTCAGAAAGAACATTTGCAAAAATACATATAGATCTTCGGCGGCTTGGTTAGTTGAATTTACAACGCGTGACCCGTATGATAATCCTACACCGATTGGCTTTGTGAAATAGAAAATTAATAACCACGATAATTTAAAAATGGATGCATGACCTTTTAACCGCACCTGATCAACGAACAACACGTTGGAAACTTCGTTCCAGCTATAAATGTTGTTGGTAATTTCCGAGCCGTGTTTATGCACTTTGCAAGGTCCGATCTCCTCGAACACCCCAAAAAGCGAGCTGCATCCTGGACCACCGTTTAACCACAATGTCAAGGGTGATCCTTTGGGATTATTGCGGGACTCAAAAAACCAAAAAAACATATTTGCTCCTGAAGCGATTTCTATATAGCCGGAATACTGCATTATTGAGAAAACAAGATTAAATTAAATTAAATGAGGATAACACGTGAACTATGAAATTCCGATGTATAAATACCTGCTTTACGTTACTATCACATAAGTTGCTAGAAACTATGTTTGCTTTTAAAGTTTTAGAGAGAAGTCAGTAGGCTATACTATGCACGTGAGAAACGCGTTCGATTTTCCTAAGAATCTTACTTGAGTTTCCGATATCATCGTGTCTTTTTGAAATCAATTGATCGTTTGGTTTCAAAGGAACCCCTAATGTCGTGTCAAAGAAAAATAATGCCTGAACGCACGCCAAGAGAAAAATCACGCGTAACATAGTGACATGAAAAGAAAAAACCATGGGAAAAAGCGTAAAGGAATTTTTCGGTTCTGTCATTATTACTGCCAATTAAATCAATTTATTTTATTGAATTAGCGAAAAAAACATCAATAATTAAGCGGGATGAGATAAAGGTCGAATTTTAGATTCGAAGGGGACGACAAAGAAAAAGAAAATTCTTTATTCAAAGTTGGTTTATATATATACGTTTTTTCTACCCCAAAGTTTCTCGCGCGCAATATTGAAATAAAATAACCACAAATTCTTTCAGGCATGGTGATAATTGTGATTGTTAGCTTTAACGAAGCAGAGAAACATTGCCAAAACATTATTCGGGTGAAACATGACTGAAGTCCAGGCGTTGCGTGATTAACGGCTAGCGTGGTTTAACCGTCGTAAAAAAAAAAAATTTTAGGTTAAACCTGCTATTCCATATTTGTGATTTTGAATTCGGTGCACGCCGACCTCTATTTTTACGCAACTACCTTAATGATAACAATGGAATTTTGGTATACACAAAGAATAAAAAATAACAATAGTAAGGCGGTTTGTTAAAAACATGAATTCGGTCAAAGGAATTGATAAGTAAAAGAAAAATTCCCACACCCGAGGTCAATGTAACGTTCACTTATGACGTTCTCAAGATTTCTTCGAATCGGAGGAACAATTGATGACCGAGGGCACCTTGTATTCGCGCTCCCTTCACTTATTATACCTAAGAAATCTCAGTAAGCAAAGGATAATAATAATAATTATTATTATTATTATTTTTAAAAAATTATATACAGCATAAAGCATACATTCCGTTAAGCAATTAAAAAAACAAGGGAATTCAAATGCCATAACAATTATATTATCTAACTTTAGGTGGGAACCGGTGCGTAAATAATTATTTTTAGCATCAAACGCGTGAGAATGTGATATTATAAAAAAAAAATTTTTTTTAATTTAAAAATAATATACTGTATATATAAAAATGTACGTTCGTATTTATTAAATTAAATAAAAATTTGGACTTTGATACATTTTTTATAACATAAAGTCAACATTTGATTTTTAATATAATAATATTATTGTATATAATTTATTTATATTGTTTTACCTTTATCCAGATAATATTAATAGGCAAAATGATTTTTTAAAATATCCCATACCTTTATTTTTTATTGATAATAGTAATCAAAGTTTCGCAGATCTTTTAAATAGACTTGTCTTTATTGTGCAAACTTTTTTTTTCTTATTCTTTCTATTTTGATAATTTGTGGAAAACCTTTTTACTAATTAAAAAAAGGTGACTTCAACATTATTATCAATTAAAATATCTTTTATCCTTTACTATAGTCTTGCAGATTTTTTTAGAATAAAACTAATGTAATAGTTGCAATTTCAATGCTAGAT